CAAGTAGGCGGCATGTTCTTAATATCATAAATGGTACACAACACAAATAAAACAACACAATAATAAAAAATTTTATAACACAATAAATAAAGTCAATCTTTGACATTTCTAACGGGCGCTCTTTAATTTGAAATTGGTAACAGGCGAACCACATATACCACTTAGTTGTAAATTTTCCCGAGGAGGTCGCGCTGAACAGTCGGACACCGGAAAACTTGAGATAGGCTTCGCCTTGTTTTGGGGCCATGTTTTTCAGCCCGTCAAGTCTCCTTATACTACTTCGTGAAAAAAATGTTGTAGAGAAAAGTTGTTTGTACTTTCCTAACCTAAAATAATATAAAGTTAAAAATTTGAAAATTTGAAAAAATTGAGTTTTCAAAATTTTGAAACTACTGTAGTTTTTGTATTTTTTAACGAAAATGGCTGGTTAACGAACTTAGCCTTCATTTTTACACTAACTTTAAGAGAGTTAAATTTAAAAACGATCCGATAAGTTTTTCAAAAGTTATCATGCACGGAGAGAAAAATCAAGCGTTTGTAGTAAGACATGGTCTATACTTAAAAAGCACGGCGCTGTTTATACTCGATTTGTAGAAATCTATGCTAAAAGAGTATAGGTCTCTACTAAAAGAGTATAGGTCCCTACTCTTTTAGCATAGATTTCTACAAATCGAGTATAAACAGCGCCGTGCTTTTTAAGTATAGACCATGTCTTACTACAAACGCTTGATTTTTCTCTCCGTGTGGGAACAACATTTTGTGTCTACAGACAGACAGACAGACAGACACCATCGCTAAACCATGTTTTTTGGGTTCAGGGGACCCCAAAACGTGAAGATTTCATAAAATTAGCAAAAGTCAAAATTTGCATAAAACTAATACCTTCTCATATGATTAGAATGTAAAAACCTATAAGTAGAAATTATTTTTGACTTTTTTATATGAAAGAGCAACTCGAAAAATGTTTTTATATTAATATTTTTTTTCCTTTGGAAAATATGAAAGTGATTTACACGAAAATTTGTAGAATTCTAAATACTTTTAAAGCCATAATATAAAACAATATACTTTAGCAAAAATCCAAACAGTCTCTATTCCATCAAACACAAATTTGCGTAAACCTATGTAGGTGAGTTGAAACAGCCTGTTACAACTCGCCTATTAACACACGTGTTGTACTAAATTTTTTATCATATATTAGGTAGAATTTCCAGTCAAATATTTTATTTATTTGAAAATACACAATTTTACTTGCTCGTCAAGAACTATTCATTTTTATTTATTTATGACATTGCAGGGCTGCCAGCGTACTTAGAGGTTAAAACTAGTGAAAAAAGTGAGTTTTTGATTGAAAAAAGTGAGTAAATAGTGAATTTACAAGTAAAATAGTGAGTAAAAAGTGAGGTTATTTTTGGCATATTTTTGAAAATTTAAATTAATAATTAACCTGTAATATCAATTTTCTTCTCAATTCAATAAATAATACAGATATTTAATACTTTTACCATCCATTTTTCTTTTTTTTAGACTTTCTTAACAAAAATCGCAAAATTAAGTGTCAAAGTCTGCAATGAAACCATATTTGACTATGAGTATTCCTACACAGCACAAAACTTTCCTAAAAATTAATTAAAGATTTACATACTTGCAAACTTTGAAAAATTTACTTGCAAAGTTTAGTGAAAATTGTGCAAAGATTTAAGGGGACTTTCTGGTTTAGGATTTAAAAAAAATCTATTTTTCTTTTTTTGCTTAAAAATGTTCCTTACCCAGGCGCGAAGTGACGCCGAGTTCAGGCTTTATAAAGATTGGCCGAGCATTGGTCAACATTGATTGAGCATGAGTGAATCAGCAAGAGCAGGAATGATTGAAGCTTTAATGTAACACCGATTCCAGACTGCAGCGCGAGCCTTGATTCAGCATTGGACACCAATGCTCAATCAATGCTGCGGAAGCCTAATGCAGGACTGAAACAAGACTGCTTCCACTGTTCCCAAATTTACTCGTTTCTCACGTTTATTCAATATAATGTGAATATATGAATTATTAATAATAATAATAAATATTATTGTTATTATTTTAATTCATGTATGTGTATATATATATATTTAATGACAATAAGTTATTATTTGTAATAATTATATTATTTTCATATAAATAAGAATATATTACTAACAATAAATGTCATTTGAAATAGTAATATTAAAAAAAAAATTTAGTAAAAAAAGACAATTTTTCTGTTAATCGATACATTTTTTTGTCGATTTTTTAGCAGACTTTTTAACATTATTTACAAACATGTTCACATTTTTTATTCACAACACAACACACAATTTTATTATTTTATATGACGCTTAAAACAAAGAATGAAAAATATTCGCTCGCATGTGGGATCGAACTCACGCCCCTAACGCATACCGGAAGTATCTAACGCACGCATTTAAACTGCTCGGCCACAGAAGGCTGGAAGGCTTCTCGCCTAATCTACTATATCAATGCCAGTGCCGTCACTCAATATTGGTTCAGCATGGGACACCAATGTTCGTCCCATGCTCGATTCAAGACTCGGTCAATCTTGATACAATATTCAGTTTCTTTATTACCGTGTGCACTGTACAATATAATTATCTATAAATATTTATAAATTATTTAATATTAAAATATTTTGTATGATAATTTTATAAGTTAAATTATATATATTTTTTTTTCTTGTACAGTGTCAAATTATTATTTTCAAAGTTCAAGAGTTTCGTTTATCTGAAAAATTTTTAGTGAAAAAAATGTTCATTAGGTAGTAATAAATATTTATGCTTAGTAGTTTTTTTACACTAGGATTAACTGTTTAGTAAATATTATCAAAAAACTATTTTTTGTCAAACGCGCGCGACTAAACACAAATAACCTTGAAACTCCAGCATTACCAACTCAACACATACGTTAAACTCATGAGTTGGCAATGCTAAAGTCTCAAGGTTATTTGTATTTAGTCGCACGCGTTTGACAAAAAATAGTTTTTTGATAATATTTACTAAACAGTTGATCCTAGTGTACAACTACTAGGCATAAATATTTATTACACCCTAATGAACATTTTTTTCACTGAAAATTTTTCAGAAAAACGAAACTCTTGAACTTTGAAAACAATAATTTCACACTGTGCAAGAAAAAAATAATAATATATAATTTAACTTTATTTATATGAATCTTATATAATTAATAGTAATAAATAATATAATAATAATATAATAATAATAATAATAATAATTATTATTATTATTATTAATAATTAATATAAATATTATACACTAAATAAATATTAATATTTATTTACAAATTGATATCTTAATAATAATAATTTTTAAATAGTATACAAAATTATCATAAAAAATATTTTAATATTAAATAATTTGATAATGTTGATAAAAACTATTTTTTTAAGTATGACAATGAAGTAAATTTGGACTTTTCTCCTATTTCTAAACAGGAAGTACTCACTAGGTTTTCTAAATTAAATTTACATAAGGGTGCTGGCACTGATAATATTCCACCAAGCTTATTAAAACTGTGTGGCCAATCATTGGTGGAACCTATTGTTTGCATTTTTAATGCTAGTATGAAGCTTAGTTATTTCCCGGATTGTTGGAAGGATGGAATAATTGTACCCGTATATAAGAGTGGTGACGCTTCCAATGTTGCGAACTATCGGCCAGTAACTTTACTTAATGCTATTCCTAAAGTTTTTGAAAGTATCATTCATGATAGAATGTACTCAGCCTTTAAGCATTTTTTCATGGAGGAACAACATGGTTTTCGCAGGGCTCGTTTAGTCTGTACGAATCTGTGTCTTTACTCAGAGTACCTAACTAGGAGCCTAGAAAGGGGGTATCAGGTGGACTCTGTCTATTTTGATTTTGCTAAGGCTTTTGACAAAGTTGATCACCATATACTATTGGCTAAATTAAAGGCCTACGGTATTGGTGATCAAGCACTTTCTTGGTTCGCGTCATACTTACGTAATCGTAATCAATTTGTTAAAATAAATGGCAGACTATCTGAAGGTTTTTATGCTCCATCTGGTGTTCCTCAGGGTTCTCATTTGGGTCCCCTTCTTTTTATAATTTTAATTAATGACATTAAAGACTGCATTAAGCATTGTAATTTTTTATGTTTTGCTGATGACTTAAAATTGTTTAATAAGATCGAATCAATCAGCTCAGCCTTGGATCTCCAGGAGGACGTAGAGGGAATTTTTCGTTGGTCTATTATTAACAATCTGCCCTTGAATGAAAAAAAATGTTCTGTAATTACATTTACTAAAAGACGTAAAGTAATAAGATTTTATTATAACTTAAATTTTAAAATCTTATTATCTGTCTCCAGTGTTCGCGACTTAGGTGTTACTTATGACTCTCAATTAAATTTTCTAGAACATTTAAATATAACGGTAAATAAAGCTTTAAGAGTACTGGGGCGGATTGTTAGATCATCTAGAGATTTCTATGATCCCTTGGTGTTAAAAACGCTTTATTTTACTTTGGTAAGATCAGTTCTTGATTTTGCCTCTATAATATGGGCCCCTTACTAGGAATGTCACAAAAAACGGCTAGAGCGGGTCCAAAATCGTTTTCTTAGATTTATGGCGTATCAGCTTAATGTTCCCCGTGCAGAAATTTTGACCGGGGCCAGGTCGGGGCCAGATCGGGACAAACCGGGCCCCGATCTGGCAACCCGACCTGGCCCCGGCCTGGATGAAACAGTAAAACCGACCGGGGCCATGACATTTTGCCCGATCTGGCCGCCAGGTCGGGGCCCGGCCGGGTCCATGGGATTTCCCCCGATCTTTTTGCTAATTTCATTAAAAATAATTTATAATATTATTAATCTATAATTAATGAAGAAAATTGTAAATTTACATAATTTATATTTTATAAAGAACGTAGTTTTAATTATACACATTTTAAAGTATTTTTAATACTGATTTTAATACTGCGATTGTATGAATAAGATTTTTAATTTAACAAAAAGAAAGATAATTTATAAAATGTCTGAGTGTTTTTCTTTTCTTTGCTTCCGATGCCCATCCCAATCTTTGGCATTTCCAAAAATCACGCCTAAATGAGCTAAAATTGCCTCTTCTGATATTTCAAATTTTTCTGTAGCAACATCTGAAAATAAATTTGTTCACAATTATTGAAGAATTTAAATAAATATATTGTTAATATAATTAAAATTTTAAAATCAACTTTTCACCTATTAAACTCGAACAAAATGCCATAGTTTTAAAAACTATTTTTCCCGGACTTGTCTTTGAGCTGGTTAGTTGTAAAACAACTTCTCTGCCACAGAACTTTTTAATCAAAAGATTCAAAGTTTTTCTGACGCCAATGTCCTTATTTAATGTTAACTTTACAGATGCTTTCTGTAATAAAAGAAAATAGTAAATAAGTCGGGCTCCCAAGAAAGATACCTAAGAAGGAAAAAATCATATGCTATATTTAAAATTTTCGAAATGAAAATGCAGAAAGAGAATCAATTTCTATTGCAAATTATTGATGTTCATGTCTTAATTATATCCGAAAAATGCAATAAAATTTAGTTTCAAGTTTACATAATTAAAAATGTACTTTTAATCAAGATAAATTTAACACAAACATAACCTGAAATTTATTTCCTTCTTACAATTAGGTACTTTTCTTGGGGGCGCGTCACAAATAATGAAAGAGCTCTATTAAGAAGAATGATGCATAACACAATTGAAAAGTTTTGTTAAGAATTGACAAAAAACGTAAATTTTCAATATAATAAATCATTACAATATTAATAAGTATCGTAATTAGTATGTTATAATAATAAATTATAATATACTTACAAAATGTTTATTGCAAACTTCGTTATTCAACAGCAGTTGGTTGAGTTTTTCTAATTCTTCCAGGGTTTGTAACGGTAGATTTAACTCGTATTGTTGTTCAAAGCATTTTTGGTCATTATGGTTGAGATTTGCAAGCTGCTCTATCATTCCGATTACAATGTTAGTGTTATCACGAACATTTTGTACATCAAGTCGTAATGATTTTATTTCTTTCACAAGGAATTTGAAATAATCTGTAAAAATTTAGAGCAGATATATTTTATATTTTAAAATATATTTTTTCACGCCGAAAAAATTAAAACATAAAAAATTATTTTTATTAATTACATAGTAAAACCTAAACTGTCTTAAATTTCTGTGCACATTCGGCAATTTGTGTTCTAGAAATAGTAAAATTTACCATTCACGAGGTAATTTTTACTGTTTAAAAAGTAATTCTTTATTATTGTCAAAATAAAAGTTGTCACAGATGAACAGGAATTCCTGATAGTTTAGATTTTACTTTATAAGTAGTAAAAGTTATTTTATGTTTAAATTTAAAATGGTTTAATTTTATAAATCTTGCCTTTTTCTTTTGCTGGAAGTTTATTTTCACCGGAATTGGAGACGGATTTCCTGTTCTTGTCAGCTCTGTACGAATGCTCTGTAAATATTAATATATTACATGAATACATAAACGTAAATTAATAATTAATATTATTATTATTATTATTATTATTTTATTATTATTATTAATATTAATATTAATTAATATATATAAATGAAAAGATATTTAACTATTTATTACCAGCAAAGTTCCTCACTGTATTTTTCTTTCGGTCAGACTGACTTAATGAAATTTGATTTACTGCGAACCCTTCTCTATCAAATTCGACATCATCGGAATCATTATCTAGTGATTCGTCAAGTTCCATACGAGATCCAAATACTGAAAAATATAAATATTTATAAATTTAATATTTACAAGTATGTGTGGTAGAGTTTTTTGCTTAGAGTTTATTTATATAGAATACATATCACTTGTTTAAACGTAATCCGTTGAGTCTCTCGGTTAGAGCTTTTCATGTAGAATTATTTATTATAATAATTACTTTTTGTTTTTATTTAAATATTTATATAATCGATGTTAACCTGTTTTATGATGTTCAAATTCTAGAATTATAATAAAGGATGTACTTACCATTAAATTTAGAATTATTTTTTGGTTTTATTCTTTCTCCATTCTCGGTTATAGAATCATCACTGCTAAAAGAATCCTTTCTTGATTTTTCTAAAATATGAATTAAAAATAAGAAAGTATAAAATGAGGGGCTTACAATGTTTATCAAATTGAATAATAAATTAATTTTTATTCCTTAGACAAAAACTGGACAAATTTATCATTCAAATTGCTCATAAATTTTTATTTTGTATAATAAATGTGACGTGATATCAAAGAAGGGACTTAAGAAGCAAAAAAAGTATAGTTTATTTTCGTCAATTTTGAAGTAAAAACGTATAGAATGGGTTAAACTGTAGCTATAATATATTTCATTACTAACTATTTATTATAATTCTTTTTATTTACCTGCCAAAGTCGAAGAGTTTCTCCCCTTTTTAGAATTCGGCAATATAGCCGGTTGCTTGCCGGAACTAGAAGGATTTTCCGGTTTTCTATAAATCGACGTGGAAATCGATGAATTAGCCGATTCAGTGTCCCCTGGCGTAGGCATCACAATGTCAGAAACATTTAAAATATCATCTAAACTTGACAATGACTGCAATTTATTTTTAATTTGATCCTCAGTCATTTTCTTTTTCTTTTTCGGTTCTGTCTCCGATTCAGTATACGCAAATTTATCAATTTTTAATTGATTTAATCTCATCACTGCCATTTCAAATGTATCTGTCAAATATAATTAAGGTTAATTTATTTGTTATTTCTGCTGCAAATAATTTTAAAACAAAAATATATTTATAAATCAGTTAAAAAGTCCTGTTTTTAATATAAAAAAATCTCTTTCGAAAGTTATATTTTACTTCAGTTAAAGAAATAAGTCTTCATTTCAGAACAAAAAATTATACTTTTTTTTAATCAACACTGTGAATCAGAGACAATTCATAGAAAATTTGGAGAGCTTTGATAAATGGTTGTTAATTTTACACATATTAAAAAATATAGTCAAAAAGTGTCAGATAATACAATGATTTAAGTACAAATTTTTACACTCACCTGCGTGACCGTGAATTTGAATAGGATATTCTGGCCAACTGTCATCAGGTACATCTCCTTGTTTATGTATTAAATCATATAGAATTGTACTGGTTTCATCATTATAAGGAGGTGGCATATACTTTGTTACGAACTTTTTCTTTTTCTCGTCGAATCGCATCCATTTTAACAACGTAATATCTATACTTTTAGTCACAGAACGTTTACCTGGTGAAATGAATTGCACCAATTGAAATGGCTTTATTTGCAATACCATATGCGCCATTGCACGACTCAATCTGTCCTAAAGAATTTCATTTATTTTTTTGATTAGTTTTTAAGTTCAACAATAAAAAATAACGATATTAATGAATATATGTATTTATTTTTATACTTGTTTCATTAATTAATAAAATCAATTTGTTTAGAAAATTTACTAATTAGGTATGAACTATTGAATCATTTGAAGTTATGATTTCATTTAAATATTAACAAATTATTTACATTGCGAAAAAATCTAAAATAACGATAACATTAAATAACACGATTTAAACAGGTATCTTTTAAAAACGTTTATTGATAATTTATAGATAATTTTTTTACTAATTTCATAATGCACACCAGTATTATTTAAATAATTAAATATTCTTACCTTTTGTTGATCTCCAGTAATAAAAGATACTGTATAATAAATTTGTTGACTTTTTTCCACAAAACTATCTCAGTTACTTAACTGAAAATATTTTAGTAAAGTCCAGAAAATCTCGTCTTGAAGCCTTGAAGGTTCTCGAATTCTAAAATGCCAACATTAAAAAATATCTGGATGAAACCTAACCTCACTTAACCTCACCTAACCTCACTTGGCCACTTAAATGCACTATAGTATATTAAAAGTATTATAGCAAATACCTTCGATATATTTGATAATAACAAAACTACGACAATAAACACATAAAGTTTGTTAAACTTTTTTTATTGCATAAAACACAATCCGCAACCTCAGCAATCAGAACGTGGCCAGCAGCTTCGACTTTTAAGACTGATTCGACTGAATGCTTCTTAAAACCATACTATACACTGTTGCCACTTTTGAAACAGTAAAGAGCGCGAAATTTGAATTTATTTTATTTATATACAAAGAGCTAAAGCAATATTATATATAAATTTAATACGCAATTATAATTATTTACTAATTATAATTATTATAATAATATTATTAAAATTATTTTTCGTTAAAATTTAATTTTCTATTATTGTATTATTTCATTTTTTATTGTTTTATTATTGAATTAATTTAAGAACAATAAAATTCTTTTTTTCGTTATAATAATGACTATAAAAATTCTAAGAATATTAATTATAATAAACGTATTTTTAAAATTTAAATACGTAAGTTCCTTTGAAGGAATTCAATTATTTTCAAAACAATTTTAATTGAATTCTTCGGATGAATTCAAATATTTTTAAATATTTCTATAAATTTCAATTATTTCCTAAAATTTTAATAAATTCTTCGAAACAATTCAACCATTTTTATAAATAGTAAAATTATTCGCAAGAATTCAATTATTTTCAATTCACTTTTAATAAAATTTTTCATCATAAAATTCAATTGATTTCAAAATTTTTAATTAAAATTATTAAAGAAACTCCATTAGTTTAAAAAAAATTCAAAGAAATTCTTCAAAAGAATTTCATTAGGATTTTAAAAATTTTATTAAAATTCTTTGCGAGAATTTAGTTATTTTCCTAAATAATAAAATTCTTTGAAGGAAATTTTTTAATAAAATTCTTTACAAAAATTCGATGATTTTCAATACATTACTTTTAAAATTAAAAATATTTGAAAAGAAAAATTATAAAGAAGTTCAGAAACAAAAAGCAAACAACATCAAACTGCGAACCTCGCTGCGAAGAGATTACAGAAACTTGTACTAATTATTAATGCTATAATTATTTCTATTTTATAATTAATTTAAAGTTGTAATGACAAATAGAAATCATCAGAATTTTTTTCACTTTACTTCTAAAGAAAATTAAAAAATTGTTAAATAAAAACAACTGTGATTAAGAAATAGAAAATTTATTTATTTTGCATTATTTTTGTTTATGAATCACAATTTTTTTTACCAAAATTATTATTTTGTTTCAGAAAAAGAAAAAGAATATTTGCACAATTTCTATTTTTATTTTTGAAACAGGATTTTCCACAGGAATTAAGATATTAAAGAATTTCAAATTCAAACCTTTTTTAAATTAAAAAACTCATAAAAGTATTTTTTTTCATAAAACATGAAGATATCGATTGCTCCGAGTCGAAGACTCGGAGTGATCGATTTCTTCTTGTTTTCTAATAATTAAACATGACCGAGAGATAAAATCATTATTTTATATTTTAAGAATATTGTTACTTCATCAAAATTATTTTCGTCATTAAATTATTCAATTCAATTATTTTTTATGAAAATAATTGGATTTCTGTGAAATTTTTATTATTTATGAAAATAATTAAATGTTTGCATACAATTTAATTAAATTTTTTTTAAATAATTGAAGTCTTTTTGGGAAATTTTATAAAAATAGTAGATATTGAAAATCAAGGAAATTAGAAAAATGCATTTTATTTTTGAAAATAATTAAAATTAGAACAAGAACTTTTTTTTTTTTTTTTTGTTTTCCACAAAAATTTAAATTAGAAAATTCTATTATTTTTAAAATTGCTAATTTTATTTTTAAAAAAAGGTAGTAAGAAGTTGCTAATTGTTGCTAGTACCTAAATAAAGTCATTAAAGAAACAAAAAATATAATAATTGTAATTAAATTATTTTTTATCTTTCACTTATTTATGAAAGTATGATGAATATTTTTCAAATTTTAACATTGTTAATAAATACATTTTACATTACCATTAAACGATATTTTAAAATAAATTAATAAGTCACTTTTGAGATTAATGTGAACTACATTGTGAAACAACACTTAGTTAGTGGTGTAAAAGTGGCATACAATAATGTCTCTTTGGAGCTTTTTCTTCAAAATTTAATGACAATCTAACCATTTTAATTTCGATGTAGTTTAGATTAAATGTGACTGAACTGCGGGAAGGTCTGGAGCTCAACACCCACATATCCAAAATTTCAGAATTAATAGGATATGCAAATAAAGGACGTTTAGCTCTCCACAAATTACCGTCGACTTTTATCCCTTGTTGTGTTCGATAAATTTTTTTAATTCGCAGAAACTTATTGTTTTTTAACATTACAAAATTATCTGGTGACTTCGGGGTCAGAGTATATTCTTTGTATGTCAGTTTTAGAATATCGTTACCAATGGATTTTAATATTTGAATTTTTAATGGCATTTGTGGTTTTAGAGGATCAATTTTTTTTAATTCGTGTAACCTTCGACAAATCTGTGCTAAAGGACGATTCGGAGTGCGAATGAGTTTTGTTAATTTTCCGAGAAAGTTCTCAAAAGGAAAGGCAGATATTCGACTAAAGCAACACCCCATCTGTAGTACATCGTCAGCGGCATGCATCGCGTGGTGCATATTAAGTACTTGAATTCTTAAATACAAATGTCTTAAACTCAAAAAGAATTTTTGTAAATAAGATTTTCCAAGATGTTGATAAGTCCGGAACAGTTTGTCACAAGATAGAATTCTAGTTGCTGCATGTAAAAGGATGAAATTTTTTAAACGATCTGTACTCAACGCATCTGACATTACAATAGGGCCACAGTATAACAAAAAAAATCGAAATTCTGTAGCCTTCCATTTATTCAAAGCCTTTAAAGGCCGAATTTTTCTTTGAAATTCGCACGGTATATTTTTTCGTATCAAAAGTAATCTTCTCGATACTTCATTTTTCCAATATTGGCCAAGTTTAGCTCTCGTTGCTAAAATAAACCAGTTCTGCAGTAAACGCTTCATTACACCTTCGCAGAATAAATGCATGAAGTCGAGAACGAACAGAGAGATCATATTTAGGCGTGGTCTTATTAGCAAAAGAGGAGAAGTTGTTTTGTGATGACCAGGCTGCTTCTTTTTTCTAAACGACTCATCTGTCCTTTCCTCGTCCAGGAAAGGAAATTGAGTCACTCCATTTTCTTTTAGGCCTTGGGTTTCGCATCTCTCGCAAGAAAAAAATCCTACGTGGCCTTTTACACCCTTCAGGTAAGCCCTCGCTGGTGTATCGCATATGAAGCAGTGAATTCTCAAGTTAAAACGACGATTTAGGATTTGTAGTCCCCTGGGCAATATATAATTTATTTCGTTGATGAAATCATTAACAAAATCGTCGATACTTGCTGGTTTTGAGTTTCCGCAAAAAATCGCTATTGGAAATGGTGTGTAGATGTCTGGTTCGTAATAAACTTTACCAGAAATTACCCAAAAACCCTTCTGTCCAGAGTTGCTTAGTGAAATGCCGTCCACATTGACTTGCAGGAAAACTGTTGATTTAATGTGAATATTCGGATCTAAACATTCTTCTAAACCGCGCCGTATACCAAAATATACATATTCACCCATAGTTCCATCGGAGTCCGACATTTCCTGAATTTGATAATTTGCTGTACTAGTGCCTAAAAAGGTTTTTGCTGTTTTTGGTAATTCGGGTATAAGTCTGTTCCGTAAAATTTTAAGCAATTCATCAACGCTTTTTTGCTCGATACCATTAAGAACGGCCCATGACTTTAGAGCCGGAATTTCATCGGGGTTATTTTCGTTCAAATTTCCAATTCCTTCAATAAAGTCTCCTTCTGAGTTGGAGGATCCGTCAGGAATTTCATTATCTGAAAATAAGATTGCATTTAATTGACAGCAATAATGATTTTAATTTATATTTTTAAGATAAATAATTCATTGCGAATTTTTAGACTTAGTTTATAATAATCTATTCAATAAATAACTAAATTTCATTTTTAATAACAAATGAAGATTTATACATATATATTTTCTATCAATTTTGGCATTTGTTTTTGTTTATAATTTATTTTTTGTTTATAATTAAAATCTTAAAACCTGTGAATTTATTTTTTTTTAATTTTTTGTTCTGAAGAAACCTAAAATTAAACTTTAATTGAACTATTAAAATTTTCTGAAATGATATATTTTTTTATTAAAATTTTAAAAACTTTCTTTCCAAAAATTCCAAATTCAAAAAAGTATCAAACTAAATTTCTTTTTGATTTTCGACAACAAAGTAACATCTTTTAACATTTTTACAAAGGCAAATAAAGTATTTAGAGCGATTCGGAAACAATATAACTTCAGAAGATTTAAAAACAGAATGTTTTCAATTTTCGAAAAGTGTTTTATAAATAATATGTAAATAATTGAACATGAAATTTATTATTTCAAAAATAAAATGATTATTATTGTCAAATATTTATATAAAATTAATTTATTTCTTAAAATTTTAATAAATTCTTCAGAACAATTTAATTATTTTTATAAATAGTAAAATTCTTCGTAAGAATAAAATTATTTTCAATACAATTTTAATAAAATTCGTCTTCATAAAATCCACTTGCTTCCAAAATTTTCAATTAAAATTATTAAAGAATCTCCATTATTTAAAAAAATTCAAAGAAGTTCTTTAAAAGAATAATTCTATTATTATTATCAAATTTGTTGATAAAATTCTTCGCATCATTTTGATGATTTTCAGTAAATTAATTTTAAAAATTAAAAACAATGATAAAAATTTTAAGAAACAAAAAACCAAACAACAACTAATTTCAAACTGCTAACAGGTTATCGGAACACAACGATTTTTAATATAGATTATAATATTAATATTTACCCAGATTTTGAAATTCATTTCTAACATCAGTGTCAAGTGAAATATGGTTTTCAAATTCGACCAAATTTTCGTTCGAAAAAGAGTTTTCATTTCGAGCTGAATTTTCATTTGAAGCAGTGTCGTCGTTTCTGTCATTATCCTGTTCTTGTTGAAAGTTTTCATTGACATTTATTATATCATCTTCATCATCTGCATCACCTGGAGCTTAGATAACGAATTTAATATTTAAATATAAAAATATAATATACATATTCAATACACAATAAAAATTAAATACAAAATTTCCATCTATTTTTAGGTTAGTTTTTGCTTTATTTTCCATATAATTTTCTACTTACAATCAGGTTCGTTGGACACAAAAGGGGGTCTCGCATATAATCGATGTTTTCGAACACGATATGTACTGCACACTTTCGGCATTTATACGTAATTATAAACAATAATTGATCACTGAAATGACACCTCTTAGTTCAATTAAACGAATTGGTGAAATAATTTCTCTAGAACAACACCACGCGGCACTGTTGTAGATCCTTGGGCAAACCCGGTCTGGCCCTGGTCGGGGCCACTAAGTCGGGGCCAGATCATGAAATCCCGACCGGGGCCAGGGCGGTAATCGGGAACAAAAGTGGCGATTTCTGCACGGGTCATTATGACAGATTTTCGCATGACTATCGAGAACTGCGTTCCATGTTTAAAATTCCTTCAATAGAGTTTCGATTTTTATTTTCTGACTTAAACTTTCTTTATCATATTCTTAACGGACATATTCCATCGTACTAATTATGGTGAGAATTGTCCATTGTCACGTATTTGCAGAGAAGCAAATTTCTATAAAGATGTAAATTTTTTTGGCTCCTCACACTCTGCTCTTAAAGGACAGTTGAAGTTGTCACTGATTAATGCGTTTTAAATAGCATACGAAAATGCTTGATGTTTTTATGTACTGCTTATATATGTTTCTTATACTATTATAATTTTTCTTTCTTGTAAATGTAATCAAGGGTATAACCCGTTAAAGTTGTAAATAAATAAATTAAATTATAAATATTGTTAAGTGCACATGGTAATAAATAAACAACCAAGATTGATTCAAGCTTGAATAAAGATGGGATGTTTAATAGGGTGGTCCAAAAATACGTTAAGAAAAAAAAAGTCGGAATTTTTTTGCTCTCACCCCCCAGGATTGAAGTTTGTAGGAAAAAAAATACCCCTGTTTTTTTCTTCATAATAAAATAATATTAACCCGTGCCTCAAAGCCTTTCAAATTTCTTATGTATTTTAAATGAGAAAAAACCACTTTTCGTAAATTTAATATAAAATCTAGAGAAATTTTTTTTTCACTCGGTTAAGGATGCTTTTCTTCTAGAGTGTTTAAGGAATAAAATCCTTTTACATATTTAACATATTTTTTATTTTTTTTAGTTTTGAAAAATTCTCAAAAAACGGTAATATATTATTTTTTATTACTTATTATCATTTTTTCTCATCTATTGTAATTCAATTGGCTTTTATGAATCTATCAAATATTAAATTCATAAAACCATTGTATTACAATCAATGAGAAAAAAATAAAATAACGAATAAAAAATAATAAATTACCGTTTTTTGCTTTTTGAGAATTTTTCAAAAATAAAAAAAATATAGAAAATAAAAAATTTGTTAAATATGTAAAAGAATTTTATTCTTTTAGAGTATTCTCTAAAAGAAAAACATCCTTAACCGAGTAAAAAAAAAAAATTTCTCTATATTTTATATTAAATTTACGAAAAATGTTTTTTTTTCATTTAAAATACATAATAAAATTGAGGGGCTTTGAGGCACGGGTTAATATTATTTTATTATGAAGAAAAAAACAGAGGTATTTTTTTTCCTATAAACTTCAATTCTGGGGGGTGAGAGCAAAAAAATTCTGACTTTTAGTTTTTTGGACCACCCTAATGTTTAAGCTTCACTCACGAAGATTGACCGAGTCTTGAATCGAGCATGGGACGAACATTGGTGTCCCATGCACGGAGAAAAAGGAATAGTTGACACATCCAGATACATGGATATCACAGCCAATATTATATTGAAAAATACGGGATATCCATAGTTAAGGTTGCTGCATCCATATTCTATGGCTGGTTGTATATTGCTGGAGCAGCAAAAGATCTATGGTTGGGTGATCCATAGTAATGGAAATAGGAAACAAAAAATTGGAATCACTCAATTAATTAAATTCAATGTCACTTGAGATATTCTATACACATTTTTGTTAATTAATACATACCACTTATTGAATAACCGCATATTAACGAAATAAATTATTAACCGATGGGGGGAGACACGAACCCTAGACCTAACGCATACTAAACACTAACGCTATCCACTACACTATACACACAACTACAATATTTGAGCATATAATATTCCTTATATACTCTACACATATTTCATGAAAATGAATTTACATAAAAACTAATAGACAATAACGATAATAAATAATAAACAATTATAACATTATTTATACACAATAAACTCACAACGTTATTATATAGACGTGACAGGAAACCGACGCGACGGACAAATTGAGACGACCATTTTTAAATGGAAGCCATGATAATGAATTGCGCGAAACATGTATCGAAATTTTGAACTAACTATGGATCTCCCAACCAAAGTTTACATGGATGAGGCAGCCATATGTGAAAATCCATAGCATGAATTGTAAGCCCAACCATGCCTATGGATGTCACATCCATATTTGATTCAACAATATAATATGGCTCCCTCATCCATTGAATATGGAATGTGCTTCCATTCTGAAAGTTGTCTCTTCCATTGAATTGGATAACACAACAATATTCTGCTCAACAATATTTTTATGGATATCTCTTCCAGACCTTTTCTTTCCGTGTGCTGAACCAATATTGAATAAAAAACTCAACTCAACTCAACTCTGGGTTACCCACGCTGGACGTTCAAGACTCAATCAAGCTTCAACCCATCGTCAGCATTAGTATTTCGCGCCTGGATAGTATCATAAAATTACTTTTCCAAAACCCCGTTTTTTATTCGGGGATAAATTGACCCTAAAACGTAGCGGTTTTACGATTTTTTAAGTAAAATGTTTATAAAATATTAAAAAATACATTTAAAAACTCGATTTTTAGGTTTGTTACCTAGAACAAATACTTATAACAAAAAAACCTACACTACCGGCGGAAATTGTGCGACCGCTAACACCTCGAGCTATTAAAAAACACAACCGCACAGAAAGAGTGATAACTACGTCGAAAATGAAGCTAGATGCTTTTTTTAAATTGGATTGGAAAGCGTATTAAATTTCCAATGAAATGCCACTATTTTAAGTTGTATTGCATAAATAGGAAGCGAGATATCATGTTGTAAACAAAAAAGAATAATTCCATTTTTTTCGCAATTTCTTACCCTGACTTTGACTCCTGGCAAAATTTAGAAAAGTTGATGAAAAAAATTGTTACTTTTACAGACTATTCCTTGTAATCTAAGCTTTAAATAGAGACCAAAAACAGCAAAAAATATTAACGGGTTCCCGAGATATTACAAAAAGAGTCGGACCGTGCGAAGCATTTTCAATCATCAATTTCTCTAATTCGCCGTTGAGTCAATTGCGTGGCTGTGAAAAAAGTGTTGAAAATTAATTTTACCAAGTTTATTTTTTAATTTAATTTATAATATATTAAATTAAATTAAAAAATGGATCCCAGTAGGAATGTACTTACAAAAATGTACATCTACCTTCATTTTCGACGTAGTTATCACTCTTTCTATGCGGGTGTATAAGTGAGTAAAAATTCCTAAAGTGTAACATCAAATTTTAAGATTTACTGTATTTACATTGGTAATACATGAAAATGAATCATAATTATGAGATAATTAAATGCCTAGATGGATTTTTCAAAAAAATTAAATTTCACTTAGTTATAAACAATTGAAGTTTTTTGCAGTGTTTTATTAAAAAATTAATATCTGGGAACAGGATGAACGAATCGTTATAAAATTTAGTATGTATACTCAGAAAATGATGTAGTTTCAAATGAAATAATTTAAAAATTAAATTGTTTAATTTTTGTAATTGTTATTGCAAATTTAATTGTTTATTTATAAAATAAACAATGTTCTTAACGTCGTAGGAAGTTTGTTCATCGTAAAGGATATTTTATAACGATTCCATACCGTTTTGAAAATTTAGTGTCCCGCAATTAGGAGCAAAGTTATTAATTTTTTTCTACCAAGCGGCACGTTTGTGTACCGCGCGACACACTGTGGTTTGAATCTGCAATTTGCTGTTCAAAATAGTGTACAACAAAATTTGTTTCTTTTCTACTGGCTTTTGATTTACATACTATTAACTGTTCATAAATATTGTTTAAAAAATATTATTTATTAATGTTATAAACAAATTAAGTTATCAAATGAACTGTTTATTTGCTTATAGTCGAAATGGCATCGTTTTTCTTCTAATCGTTTTAATATTATGTTACTAATAATATTTTTTATACACATTTTTCATAGGTTATTATTTGTTTATGCTATAACCAAATTAACAAATGAATCGTTCATTTGCTTATCGTCAAAACGGTATTCTTTTTTTCTAAACGTTTTTAAATTATGTTACCAATAACATTTTTATAGAAATTTTTTATAGCCATTTTTCCTATAATCAAGTGAAGAGTTCATTTTGAGTTAACTTTATTTGTTTATATCATAAACAAATAATAAACTATGAAAAATGTCCATAAATCTTATTGGTAACATAATTTTAAAACGCTTAGAAAATAGCCTAAAAACAAATGAACAATTCATTTGTTAACTTTATTTGTTTATAGCGTAAACAAATAAAAACCTATGAAAAATATCTATAAAAAATATTATTAGTAACATAATTTTTAAACGATTAGAAGAAAATCGATGCCAATTCGACTATAAACAAATGAACAATTTATTAGTTAACTTAATTTGTTTATAACATTAATAAATAATATTTTTTGAACAATATTTATGAACAGCTGTTAATAGTGACGTAAATCTAAAGCCAGTAAAAAAGAAACAAATTTTGTTCTACTACAAACAAGTGAGCTATTCATTTGTTAATTTAGCTTAAAAAATTAAAAGTTGTTGAAAAAAGTGTACAACCCAGAGATTTTGTCGAAAACTCGCAATTTTTTTTTTAAAACACACAAAAATAAATTTTTAAGAAACTTAAGGAAGCACTTTTTAGAATTTCGATTTTTTATTATTATTATTTTAATGCAAATAACAAAAAAATGATAACTGTAATTGCTTTTCTTCTCATATATTAGAAAAAAACATTTGTTTCTTCTCCATATTGCATAAACCTTATGAGTATTTACATATGAAAGACAAAAAACGATATTTCGACAATAAAATTTTTT